CCAGTAAAATCGCTTGAAGAAGTAACATGTATAGCTATACACTCTTTAAAGTAATTCAAACATAATACATAAATCAAAAAGTTCAGAGTTGACATCAAAAGAGTATGTATAATCTGAGATTACCAATCAATAAATCCAAACGTAGATGCGGCTGTAGACAGGCTTACTTCGATTGGTTGAGCTGGCTGTACATTCTGAACATCTAGCTTGTACAGACCGCCTCCGCGACGCCAACCTTCCAATTAAGCAAATATTGTCTGTAATGCTCATCTCACACACGTCCATCCTGGACGGGAACACTATATTTGGATTGCTATCGTGTGCCGCTAGTACTGAATATAAGTTTTTCTTGATCTCTGGAACGTACCATCTTGTAGAGTAATCGTATTCGTGTTCGGCTTAATGATGATAGATCCTTTTCCTTTTTTTTTCCATCAGCAGTAGATACTTGGTAGGTCACATCAAAAGGTTTGAATGTCACGAATAGATCTTTCCTTTTTGTGATATTGCCGGTCGCTCCGTTAAAAATGAACTAGTTTTCTTTGTCACACTCGATCGCAAATGTTTGTGTATTTATTGACATCAATAACATGTTTGCTCCTTAAATTGTAGAATGAGAAAATTTTGAAGTGATCTTCTTTGGTGGTTTTCCGTCTTGGAACCATTTTGCACAATCTCTTACACAGTGTCCTATCTCATGACAATAATTGCACTTCAATTTCTTATCCTTCAACTTCTTATGCTTATTAGAAGTGCTTGCTGATAAAACTTCCTGCCTGAGCCGAGTTATATGCAGAAATTTGTGCGTCACCTGCGCGTTCTAGCAATACGGGCTTGGTATATTTTCGGTGAAGGTAAATAACTTTAACTCCGGCGTAATTCAAATCAAATAAATTTTGGTAAATGTAAATAACTTTAACTCCTCCGTAATTCAATTAAAATAAATTTTAAACGATAGAGAAAAATCTCTAATGAATTAATCAACAAGCAGAATTCGGCGGTCGCTTATAGTTTTCGAGAAAAAAAAATATTTAAAACTTGTTTTTTGTACTAAGAAATCCACCATTTTATTTGTTTCACTTCAAAAACTCAATACACAGTTCTGCCAACATGATAAATATAGGAAGCGGGCGACATCATACACGTATCGATATTCCGTTTTTTTTTTTTTTTTTAATTTAATGAGTCACAGAACCGACACAGAGCGAATCCGACTCGGATAGATTAGGTTCAGAAGGTTCAGGCGGGAGCTCCGCTCCCGCCTTAACCTTCGATGTTAGGTTTTTTTTATGACCACCAAGAAATACGAGCTGAATTGACATATTGACAACAAAAAATGGCGGATTTCTATAGTAAAAATCACACTATTTCATTTAATTCATTAGTGATCCCTCTATCGTTTAAAATTTATTTCAATTGAATTACGCCGGAGTTAAAGTTATTTACATTTACCATATTTTCTATCTATTACCTCCATCGTACGTTCTGTGCCACGTAATAAAATAGAAACTCTGTACCTCCATGTTTCCCAATTACTTTTTCCTTCTAGCAGACCGATGTTCACTTTTGCAGAAATAGATTCCATTTTAATAACTAACAGCCCTTAACCTGATATAATGCGTTTAGCGCCAATGGAATGTATTATTGTATCAGTCTACGAATAAAATAATTGTATTTATAAAAGGACTTTATATTTTCAGCTTAGTTAAGTGACATAACAATCAACACCACTGTTGCTAGGTTACAACGCCCAAGTAAATAATATAAGAACTTATATTATATAAAAATTAAGAAAGATATATTATGAAGTAAAATAATGAATGAAAAGTCAAGTTTCTTCAATGAAATAAATATATTTTCCTTAATATTTTAATAATTAAAAAACACAATATAAATAGAGTTAAAAATAACATAAAAGTTGAAATTTCTGCTGGCGGCCGGTTTAAAATTAATTATTAAACAATTTCTTTTACAAGTTAAACAATTCCTTTTTGTTCCCGAGCTTATTAGCCGATTTTATTGCCATGCGCCTTCCAAAGATCTCTAAACAGAAAGATTTCCGAAATCTATAATGGCATATTATGTCTGTTTGTACAGGGAGGCTTTTCTAAGTGTATCCATTAAGTATTTAAAATTACTCGTAATTAATTAATTACATTCATTTGAACTTAATTCAAAAAGTGTGAAATTTACGGCACTCATTTATTTTACGCGCGATCATTCATAACTTACAGGCATACAAGTTCTTTTCAAAACTATATGACGTATTTATGAATGACTACCGCATTGTCAACAAGTTCTGTTTTTTAGGGAATAGAACGGCAATTTTTTTTTAAAAAATGTTTGTTTTATGTCAATAAACAATTATAGTACCGAGTTTAAAACTCCTGTGTGAATTTGGGCACCTTTAGAAAAGCCACCCTGTATATTGTCATTGCCTAATAAATACTTAAGAAAACAATAGTCTAAATCACTGTTGCATTCTCTTTTTTACCGTATCGAAATAGCTTTATGGTAAAATAACGTGTGTAAATGAGAAAAATATTCATTTTTATCCTTATTGTTGTGACCAGCGGACTCCAAAGTGGTTGCCGAGGACAGACAGAGCGGCTCTTCCTCTACGATCCTCAAGCATGCATCCGCCTCAAATGCATCCAAAGAGGCTCAAACTCACAAGGCGGTAAGCAGACCTCTAAGCCGCACATGTAAGGTGACAATAACAATAACAAAGCAATATAACCGAATACCCATAATTGGTTTACGGTTTTTAAAACTCTAAAATCGTACAAAGGAGTACTCATCTAGTTTATAAAATCCGCACTGCCGAAATAAGGACCCAAGGCGCGGCAAACTTAAACGGCATCTGACCGTTTACAAAAAGCAAATCCAAAACTACCACCGCAAACCTAATATAGATCAGTTCAAGACAAACTTCAAGTACATATTTTATCAGTTCAAGAGACCTTCTTAAAACTTAGCGTAGCGACCACTAATTACTACAGCATCCGTCAACGGATCCAACTAAGCATTTTCAGGACTTAGTATAAAATTCAGGCACTAATTTTTTATAAAAAGTCCTTGAACTGTCTTGCATCTCATTACTCATATAGTACATACATATGGACGACGGGGGTTATACAGTGACGAGATACTTGTCGTCCTTTTTCTATTAATTTTAATATTTCTTTGATCAACTCAAACTGATGCCAACGATCCTGCATTCTCAAAAAAAAAAAGACAAGAAAGTCAGCTGACTGAGCAACGTAAAACATTTATCATATTAGGCATTGTTTTACTCAAAAGAGATTTCGCTCGAGATCGTTCGATAGAAAATGTCACGTATTACTACTCGTATCCAACAGAAACATAGTTGACTGTCATTACCTGGTCAAACAAAAGAGGCCTCGGAGCACCTCACTTAGGGAAACACGCTAGAGTTCAAAAATGCCGTTGTTTTTCACAGTGTTCGATCAAAGTCGAAGATGTCGGTATAGAGAGGAACGGAGACTAAATAAATAAATAAATATCTTCAGGACACATTTTTAGACAATTCTATTCACAAAATAAGCAACCCTTGCACTATATAACTGATAAACATACTTTTGTTTTGTAAATAAAAACATATCATACATATTTAAACACCCAGACACTGGAAAAACATTATGTTCATCATAACATATTTTTGTAGTGGTTATCGAACCCACAATCTCCGGCGCAAGAGGCACTAGGTTCACTATCCACTACGCCATTCGGGTTGACTACTTCGATGATTTCGAACAACAATAAAAGTATTGCCAACTTTCCGTATTGAGCTGTTATATGATTTTCTAAGAACTTTTAGTATACCATGAGTTCAACGTTCGATAAAGTTTTAATATTTTACGGCTGAAAGGTGTAATAGAAGTCGTATAAAGATGCAGAAGTTATTTCACGTTCTACACAGTTTTGGTTATAATAATTACTTTAAAAAACTTTTAAGTTAAACGATTTTATTTTATGTTTCTTTTTTTGTTAAATTTTTTTTTTGTTAATATTGTATTGTCATCTAAATTAAATGTGTGTACCAAATTTCAGATCAATCTGACAACGGCAAGGTGCTTAAATTTCAATTTCTAATTTTGACCCAAATAAATAAACAAATTCCGTACGGGTCGAGCTAAATAAAACCGTTTAAAAATTGCATTGAATCTTCAATAATAGATTATTGTATGTCTATGACAAATCAATGTATCTTTGTAGAACTTAATAAAATAAAACACAAACCAATGCTAAAGAAATATTATTTACACATTTTACAATTAGACAATAAATATAAGATTAATTACAATACACAACTTGATTAGTTTCAATGATTAATATTAATTTATATGGTGATATGAATTATAACAAAATTAGACGGAAATAGCACCAGTTAAGAACGACATAAGGGAACCAACACTATAAGAAAGAGTAGTAAGTGTTTTTAATGATAAGAAAGTATAGCTAAAGACATTTATATTGACACATAACACAATAAGGTATAACTCTAGCTTCTCTTGGGAGTATTAATTTAGAGTCACTGTAATAATTTGGTCTAACGAAGTACATGGTCAATAATGAACGAAAATGCTATTTTTGTTTATTATGTTTATATAACGTTGCATTTTTTTTAAGGATGCCATTGAATTTCCGTCCATTTTCGTTTAATATTCAATATTCAGATAATATCATTGCATAATGAAGGGTCGGTTATGATTGTTAAAATATGACAGAAATGCTTTTTAAATACGTTCTTTGCTTGAGTTTTACTATTAAAATTGTTTAATCACAAGAACGACTTCATTTTAAGTGCTAAAATAACATATTCCTTAGCCTATGATGCAGTATGGGTTTTATAAAACTAAACACTTTTACATTAAGGTACTAATTATCCTGATTGAGACCCATTGGAGGCTGATTGAGATTCAAATAAATTTCTAAAATTAATAAATAATAGGTATTAATAAGCTTATAATGTTCTATGCAGGATGTTTGCTGTCGACCTGAAAAATAAGAAAGTTTATTATGTTATCTTAAAATAAAATAATAATAATTGGTTAATGAACAATATAAATCAGATAGTGTCAGTACTGAACAGTGCAACAAGAATACGCCCGTTTGGGTGTATATTATTTTCTTAATAGTCTTTGTGTGTCAGTGTACATCCCAGTGTAATATCCCCGTAACACATACGGTCTTTCGATTATTGTATATAACCGTCGTTTTCATAGTTTCTACACTCATAAATATATATGCGACCGTAACTCGAGATTATACTGAATAGTGAATGGAAAATTAAAAAAAAATTGTTTCTTGTATCATCCCACATGAAAAAGGACGTCATAACGATGTCAAAGTGAAGTTTGCTAATGTACGTTGATTTCAGGCTGTTTAACGCTCATTATATTACAATCCTGTACTAAAACTTAGGTACCTACATAGATGTGTTATTGCACATTTTTATGTGAAATATTTTGACGGTAAGGCATAATGTGAAAGTGGTTCTCTACTGAATACTGTAGGAGAATTACTCGCAGTCTGAGGGTTTCACAACATTATCTTATGGGATTTATAAACTTTCTCCAATTTTCGATGTCGTTTTTACCCGTATTATGAAATCTTGCTTTTTGTGAAATATAATATGAAACCTATAAGATTCCCGTGTTAAATAGGTTTTGAGTAAAAGAAATATATGATGGTTTTTAAAATAAAATCATTTCATTTAAACATAGTAGCTGTTACATGGTACATACGTTACTTTTCCATATCGTTTATGGTTTTGACTCGTTTTTTGACATAACTGTTAAATTGATAACTTTCTTGTTTTTAAGAGTTTTAACAGTTACAAATACAAAACAAAAAGAAATCTTCCATCATTTTTTTGAATCTTTTCTTATCAATTGAGATACGAAATTCTAAAGAGGACACTTAATTTGCTTTTGTGTGGTCGTCTAGTTACCATTACATTTAATAAAGGTATATACGATTTAAAATTATACTTATGAGATACCGTAAATAAATCAAACTATTGAGTGTTATAGATATTTAGGTGATAAATTTCATTCGTCTTTCTGCACTAAGAAAAATTGGACTAAAGTTATAAGTACATAGTCATTTTAGTTTCAAGAATCAAAATTTATTAACGATAAGCATCCGACATGCTGCTAAATTTGTTAGTTGTCAATGAAACTGCTATTGTAATACTCACTCCGGGACTACTCTCTCGGCCTGGCCAAGATTGATGCCCGTCTAGAGTTCTGTTGACTGTAAGAAAAAAAGAAACGTAATTGCAAAGTAATTAAGAATAAAGCTAATCAGTACACGCTTACAGTTTTCATAAATATCAAAGCGAAGCAAAAATTACATTTATAATAATACTAGAAATAGTTTTGTTTGCACAGCAATATAAAACGTAAAATTAGCACAATGTACGCGCTCAGCATTTTTTAAAAATATTAGATATGAAATATAATGTAGTATTATTAAGAAAATATCTACCAATTTATTATTTATATGAAAAAGAAATTAAAAATACCCTTTTGTTACGTCAAATGGTTCGTTGTGCGTTTTTCATTTTCATACAGTTCGCATACGCAACATGAAACAGTTAACACACACATACATATATATATTTATATATATGAATATATACAGTTAAGAGGAAATTCGCAATTTGTAACTTTACTAATAATACGAGTCGTAAGCTTACAATATTTCTTATCGGAGGAGATCCTGTTCCTTCTCTCACGTGGCGCCGGTCTCCTTTTCGAAGTCGCGGATCGCACTAGGCTCTCTATTATCTCGTCGTCCGCAGACAAGTCGCCGCTGTAAATTACATCAGATTAAAGAAATACCGTAAGAAGTCCATCGAAACATCAATCAAAACAAACAATTTTGTCACTGTTTAATTCTTAGTTTCATTTAAATTTATTTAAATTTAAAGTTTCATACTACGTCATAGTAAAAATAAGAGAAACTTAAAGACTTCGTTACGTAATATATTCAAGGATGGGGCACGCAATAACTCATCGATTGTCAGTTTTTTTAACTTTTCCCCCTTTGATTTGTGTGTTTTCTACGTTTTACGTTCCCCATTCCATTCTTTCAGTAAAAACAGTTTCACGTACTTTGTGAGGTCAAATTGACACATTTATCGATCGAGAAAAGTAAATCCTGGAAGACTCAACTCACTTGATTAGGTTCTTCCTGTAGTTGGTTGGTTGCGACTTTCGTCTGCCTTCGGTTAGGCTGTCAGTTTCCGGGTCGGTTTTGAGTAGCTCCTTCAGTGCGCTGTCTGCTACATGATCACCGTTCTTGTTGGTGTAGTTACCAACCTGCAACCAATTTTTTTTATTTTAATATTCATCATCCTCCTTGCACGTATCCCATTATGGTGAGGACGGCTCATCATATGAATCAGGTTGGTCAGGTTAGTCAGCGGTATTGACCAATTATTTTTTAACCTGTTCACGTCCATTGCTGAACATAGGCCACCCCTACAAACTGTCACATAAGCTCGATTGACTTCTCGCACACTTGCACCGGTCGTCACTCCATCTGGTTGGGGGTCGTCCTTCCCAAAGATGGCCAGTGTACGTGTAAGATGGCGAGGTTGCCACTCAAAAACCTTTTTTCCCCATCGGTTAACGGTTCTTCGAGCTATATGGCTGACCCATTTGCACTTCAGCTTACTAATCCATTGAGCTATGTCCGTAATTTTTAATCTGCTGCGGATGTTTTCATTGCGTCTGTCACGCAGAGTAAATGCATAGCCCGCTCCATAGCTGAGCGACTTTGGGCTACCCCAGACGGCCAACAGTGAAAGATCATTGGCAACGCACATTGATTGAAGTCTTTAATCTAAACTATTGACATATTTTATGAAAAGATATACCGATACTACCGACCGCTGCCCACCCGAGTTGAATTCACCGATTGTAAACAACTTGGAGCATAGTCCCGCCAAGAATAACAGATATTAACGTGACATGGACATTAGATATAATCTTCGTCTTGTCCTTGTCTTAAATAAACAAATAAATATAAATATTGCATATAATACATAAATAAGTAGGACCCAACCAGATGAAAGACTTCGGCAGGGGAAACCAAATGGCCAAGGGTTAGGGCGAAAGGGAAAGAAACCGGCGGACGATGCGGGCGGTATCGAGGAGCACCCTTTTCTGCACATGAGCTTGGAAATCCGTCCCGGAGTCCCAGTTACCTAAGATGTTTGGAGGCTGACTTATTATTATTATTATTTATGTGAGAAAGTGGTAAACGAGTTGGTGGTTAACCTGGTCTTAAGTGATAACCGCCTGCCCATTGACATTTGCAACACTACAGGTGTTGCAGATGCGTTGCCACCTCTTAATATGTAGTATGTATAATAAGTAAGCCCCGGCTACCTCACTCACCAGACAAACGCAAAAGTGCTACAGTTCTACTTCATGCCGGTCTTCTGTTAGGTCGTGGTACTAACCCGGAGGGAACAGCCGATTCGTGCAACAGCAAACACTTTTGCATGGTCGTACCACAGTTAAAGTTTTTTTTTAATAGCCCTTGCTTTAAGATATCATTATAATGTATTATCCTGGGTTGTAAGGACTTGACGTGGACAAACACCTAGATGCGAAACAACTATCTGTGGATCACACAAATAGTAGTCTCGTGAGGGAATCGAACCCACGACCCCCGAAGCCGATGCCAATACCTTGGCACCTGCGCCACGGAGTCATCATTAATACCACCTTCCAATGCAGCAGTGACTTTTAATACACCCTTCTCCAGCTGGATAGATTTTGTACTACTGGACTCTGCACTCAGGCAGACATCGTAGCCTTGTTATACAAACACCTTAGCACCTCGATATACTGACAGGTAATTAGGCACCACGGAAGATTTAGACAGAATCGAAGACTTTCTACATAATGTGCATACGCCAGGCATAGAGGCAGACAATTTTTGAATAATCTGCAATAATAGAGTGAGTATGTAGTCTATGGTACTGAAGCATTTTCGGAATCGAGCATGTTCGGTAGGCTGGAAATCATCGAGACTAAAAGCGAGACGACTTCCAGCCTCAACGAACAGCACCATCAATAGAGCGCCACACGTCCGGGATATTTTCAGAATTGTCGGACACAACAGTGTTGATGGCCACGAACGGCGGTAATAATCAAGCCGCAGACCCTTGGGTTATTTGCATAATTCTTGAATTATTTGCACTATTTCCCATGAGAATAGTCAACTATTGATTGCTGGCTTACATCAATGATCATTTTGCCCCTGGTCTTGTTCCTCTCTCGGTGGTTGGCGCGTTTCTCCAATTGTTGCAGTACCCTCTCCCTCGTGGTGCGATATTCCAGCGCGAACTCCGCTATCACCTTGAGAAATACCGATGGCTTTGTTTTCTGCAAGTCACCTGGTGGAACGCCGAGGAACAGAAGGAACTTACTGTACCTGGAACAAGGAAACGGACCTTGTTTCTCTGAAATTTAATGGCTAAGTTCGCTATAATCGCATGACAATAAACGTGAGCAGAGTATACGTAGTAAGAAGTGAGCATGGCAAAATGATACATAATTCAATGACGGTAGAAAGTTATGGAAGTGTCAATTTATATGTCACGGTGTTTCGAATTTAATATCACGTAAATCATACTATTTTTTAAAGTTTTTGTTAATCGCAAAGCATACTAAGCTACAAATCGCCAAGCATAATATAAAAAAATTAAGTAAAATACCCGGAGTATAATTCTATATAATTATGTAGGTAGGTAAATAGCATCTGTTCTATTATAATAAGCGCACCAGAGACCCGTATACTTACACAAAATAATGTAATTATGCCTAATTACCTATATACAGAATAGACATAAAATTATTAACAGTTAATTAATTGACTTTTGTACATAATATATAATTAATATGTAAATTGAAATTATTTTAAGATACCCGAATAATATTTCATATTTAGTCGCGAATCTTATTGTAACTACCTACATAAAAATAGAATAAAAAAAAACGAATAGAGGTCAATCTATTATGGTCAACGTATAAAGTAAAGTATCATCTGTACAGAGGGTATCAGGGCATAGTCCACCACGCGGCCCCATTGAGGATACTATAATGTATGAAAAGTTTTAATGGATTTGAATGGTGTAAACTACATTGCATACAAGTCCAAAACTTTATGCTGTAATAAGCAATGGCCGAATAAGTTAGAAAGGCGGATATGCAAATTTGAAAAGATAATGTAAAAATCAGGTCTCTATTAAGAACATCATGAGAATTAGGATTATGAACAACTGGCTACCAACTATCGACAAATCAAAAAAATCGATCTAATGCCAATTGAGACTAGTGCTAAGATGTATGCGGTCAATATCGATCACATGAGGAATTTTTACACGATTATCACACAGTCAATCGATAAACCGTTTTAAAGAAAATCGTGTGGTTTACGAGTATTTTCCAAACGTACCTGTTCATAACCCTTTGCTTAATCACGTCCAAAAGTATTATCCTCTCAGCGGCGTCTGTCAAGAACTCGTTGATTTTCGTTTTGAATATTTGCGAGCTGTCGTGTTTCGCAACGCGTTTCATGTGGTCCCAGGAGGCCTTGCAGTCTGCTTCCAACTTCTGTAGATTCGTGTTCAATACATCGAAGTCCACTTTGGAAGCCCTGATCACTGGCCCTACCTGAGTTGTGAATGAGTAAAATGTTGTAGCAGTTTTTTATGATTAATCGAACCCTCTTTACACTGTGAACACAAAGTTCCTATAAGTTAAAACAAAAAACTAATTCGTAATAATTCAATATTTTCATCCGATAGCAAAACGTAAATTAATTGGGATCGACTATTCAAAGATTCATCAAGTATTGAAGTAATTTTTTAAAATACTAATAAAAATTAGTTTTTTTAAAAAAAAACACTCATGTTGCTTTTTTATTCCAGTAAATATCTCTTATAACTCATTATTTAAATTCGTATAGATATTTCTTTTTTTATTTCATGGATTGGTGAGTTGGTTTTTTTACGGTTTATATTTGTCGAGTATTTTAATATACCTCACTGAAAAAGTCTGTGCTGTCTGGGAACTTCTCAATGATCATTTCGCAGATATGATACAGCAAAGGATGTTTGTGCACTGTGTCTTTAACCTCCATCACTTTGGACAGATATTCCAAACGAAAACCTTTCACTTGACTTCCGTTGAGAAAGCTCCCCACAGACCTTAGTGTCGATAAAATCACTTTGAAGGTTTTGTTAACTTTTAACAGTTCTATTCCTTGCTTCAGGTCCATTAGCGGTTCAGCAATTTCTTTCTGGAAGTGGAAAAGCTGTGTATTATGATATTTCTTATAAAAAACATTTACCATTATCGATTAGATAGGCATTTTAGATGATTCATTATGCAATTTAGCGCCTTTAAGATTGGAAACACTGGACTATTCGATATATCTCAGATATATATAATATATGCATATTATATAAAGTGCGGGAAGCTGATTGATCGCCACGAACCATTGTCCTGAACAACTTAGTCTGAAGGGAAGGCTTATATTTAGCATTGAAATAATAATAATATGATGATCTCTAAATAAATATCCTAAGCGCCTAAACGATATTAGGCTAGCCCGTGAAATAGACCAAGTTAAATTTCTGCGGTTTACACTTATGTGGGAAAATTTTTCGCTCCTTAGAATAAAGTTTAAATATTTAATTTCGAAGAAAGCTTAAAGAAGCGTAAAATGTTAATTGGACGATAATCAAGAAGGAAATTTCAAGTACTTTTCACATTTAGGTGATATGATATTCGAATTTTTTTGAATGCTGGAAAGGATATAACAATGGATTATAAGCAAGCATTGCTTCAAATGCTAAAAAACAATGTAGATAAAAGAGGTTAAGATTTTTGTCGGTGTAGCAATCAGCCGTTTAGCTTAGTGCTAAAGCGTCAGGCCGAGAATGCCGAAGACGTGGGTTCGATTCCCGCGACTATCTTTTCGTACTTTTTCTACAAACATTTTAATGTTTAATCTTAAGTGCAGAGATTAGCACTATAAAAAAAAATTAAATTTTAGATCATGTTAACAAATTGTTTTTACTAAATTCGCACATGGCGCACACTAACTTTCTACATTGGATTCTTATACCTAAATTTACGTTCCTTCTTCCCTCGAGTCCAGTTTGAAAATGCGGTGACATTTTGAACGAAATTGATTTTTATCTTAAATCAGTTCTAGGAAAAATTCTACATCTATCTTTTAATGAATTAAGCTGGCCTCAAGCTACGTTAACAATTTTTTTTGCTGGTAAGGAAAATTTTTAGTCTCTCTCTACCTTCCGTGTGTTAAGGCCAAAACGTTGTCTATCTGCTCCAATGAAAATATCCCACTGGAAGTAAACCAACAAAAACGGTGGGAGGTTTCTTTGGTGCAGAGACTATAGAAAGCTATGTTTCTTTACATAGTAATTTAGAACGTGCTCGTTTTTTAGGCGTCGCTTTACCATCGAGTAACTTGGGGACATTACTTGATGACGAAAGTTACGTCCTTGTACTTCGGTCAGGGCCGGAGCGGCATCCGATGCGCAATATGAATCTCTATGTTGAGATAATGCATCTGTGCCATTTGCTGTTTAAACTTTGAGTCCACACATGGAAGTTTTTGAAAAGTTTACGTCCTAGGCTTAACATCGCGTTTGGTGAGATGGTTCTTTTCTCGCTTAAAGGTTAATAACTATTCGGCGTGGAAATGTAGCTAGCGTTCTTGGCTAATTATCCCACTGAGTTTCTTTCGTTGGTTATTTTCAGGTCAGTGGCTTTTTTCCCGAACCGGTAGCAATGTTTTTGACAATCAATAAGTAAGTGTAATACTTCTATATCGAATAAAGGTATTTGAATAGGTATCTTACCTCTAAATTATCAAAGTCCAGTTTAAAGACCCAAAGCTTAAGTCTAGACGATAATTCATTAATTGAAGCCAAAGTAAGTAGGAACTGCTCAGCACTTCCAAGCGGCAAATCAGGGTTCGCGTACTGAAAATCGATTGGAAAACCACCAGTAAACAAGCAAATTTTTCAATAATATGCATTCTAAATTTTAAATAAAAATAATTAATACGAAATAATTTTAAAGAATTAAAATTATTTCGCAAACACTTAAAAAAAGATTGTAATTTGAATGTTTTATTTTATTACTCGAATTTAGGGCTGAATAGCAATGGTCTTGCTTCTTTAACTGTGAGGAACATCTTGATATTGCAATAAATGAAAACTAAGGTTCATCAAATTGTATAAAATTTATGGTAAATGGTGATGTGTCAGTATTTGAATCTCTTATATTTATAAGGTTTTTTTAATGAAGAATGTTTATTGTTGTTACCTGCGCTTCTTGAATCTTGATTTTTTCGTCTTCTGTGGGTAGCATTGTTAGAAGTTTCTCTATGCCTTCTCTTCCTATAACCGTAGCATCCATTTTCATAATTGCCGCTTTAATTGTTTGAGGTGTTGGCAACTTCTTCATAGCTATATTAATTGCATTTGAGCGTTTAGTATCTAATATAAGATTTCTCTTTGGTTCCATTAGTTTCTGAAAAATGACAATTACAAGATGAAATATAATACTAAGAAAAAAATTGCAGAGTATAATGAGGCAAAGGTACATGATATAGTTGTTATATTTGCAAGTCAGAGACAATAAACTCAGCATTATTAAGAAGCCTTGTATGTCATCATTCAACTAAAATATACAAAAAAAAGGAGGAGATAAGAAAGGGAATAGCAAGTTTATAACAGTAGCGCCAGAAGAAAATATAGCAATGATATGATAGATAAGAAGCATTGTACAAAATTAAAGGGTTAAATATCAACACAGCAATATAAAACAAAAAATACTTACTTCCTAAATTTATTGAGATGTAAACGACGTGGAACAGGAACATGTAAAATAAAAAAATTTTTTAAAATTTTTATTATATATTGAAAAACAATAATAACAACATTTAAAAAGCTAAACGGTCGTCTAATTGCGCAATTCTTCAAAAATGGTACCAAACATGTAAAGTCCTGCCAGAGCCGCGGTTAACTCATATAGTTCTCGGACTGTGAAAGTACAAAGGAAGTACTAGTCTGTGTTGCGATGTCGTAGAACTTCTCCGGACGATACTGCCCATTCTTACAATAGCAGAAGCTACCGCAGTAAAGTATTGTGGTGTAATATAAAATATACTATATAATGTACCTTAATTATTAAATCATTGGTTCTTGACTCGAAGAGGTGTTCTAACATCGCTGTATCTAAAGTAATTTGAGGGAGCTCGTCCCAAATAAAACCTCCAACTTTTGACCTAATTGTAATAGGAACTGGATTTTCTTGGATTTCTCGCCAAAATAGTTTTACAGTCTTCTTGTTTTTCTTAATAGGACCATTATCACAATCTTGTGATAGGTCCAATGAAAGTGATCTAGGTGGATGTGGAACATTATTTTTAGTCAATGGAGGTAATGACCCAGGTAAGGGAGGAGGTAATCCTACAGGAGGGAACATATTCGGGGGTGGAGGTGGAGGACCACTTATTCCGCTCATAGTTGGAGATGTCATATCGTCATCAGAGTCCTGTACCAAATCTGAAAAATCTAGATCGCAAAGATGGAATTCTCTATTTAGACCGCCTTTTCTCAATTCTTCCCAATGCAAATCATTTTCTGATGCTTTTATTTCATGTACTTTGGGGCTTTTTTCGATACTAGGACTTTTCACAATTTCTGCAAATATGAAAATTATGAAGTTTTAACGTTCAGGTAACATAATTCTTAACATAATTTTTCAATTGAAGTCTTACCTTTTGACTGGGACTTGGCTAACTCCTCTTTGGCTTTTAATACAATACCGGCCATATCAGCTACTCTTACTTGCTTATCTTCAGCAGTTGGACTGGCTGATCGAGTTAGCATTTGGGCTATATCTTTAATACTGTGTTCTCTGTTGATAATTATACCTCTTTCCTCCTTAACTTCGGGTAAGGCATCAATTTGTTTTTGGCGCATTACGGCGAGTGTGTCAACAGAATTAACAGTATGGCCGAGAGTGCCGTTTTGTATTCTTTGTTTAAGCCCTGGAGTATATCTCTGGTTACCTATTTTCAGTAATTTGAATTAATACCAATTTCTTTTATTTATAAATAAGCCTACTAATTAGAGAAATTTATACTAGGTTCTAGCTGTTATTCGGGATCATGATCAAGAACAAGCAATGACGACGAGGCAGAGAAAATGAACAAAATTAGTATGTTAGTAAATACACAAACCATTTTTCAACACATCTGGCAAATTAAGACTCTTTGGTGCTGTGTTAATAAAGGATTTTTCTTCGTCCGTATGGCCATTGATCCCATTGCTATTGTAATGTATTTTCCCATTTATTGTACCGTTGATGTTCGTATAGTTGCTATTGGATTTGGTGTAAGTAGTAACAGAACTTGTGTATGTACCATTACTACTCAGAAAGTCCCTGTTGACTAAACCGGTTGTTTGGTAACCGAAGAGTCCATTGTAAATGTCACTGGAGTTATTCATTAACTCCTGCTGCTGTATTATGTGGTGGGCCTGCCTCGCGTATCTGTCTCTTCTTCTCTTTAAAGCCGAACTTAGTTCTTTGTTCTCTGTGTTATCAATGATCGTTGGTAGGTACGGTGAACGTAAATTATTGCTTAGCTTAGTATCAGGCTCCGTATGATGGTGAATGACTGGTGGTTTGGCTGTTTAGTAAAAATTCCACGAATTTATGCAAATGCAAATGTTTATACAATTACTATTAAAGTAAAGTTTACTTTGAGGCAAATCATTATGCCATGCTTATAGATGCGGTAAGTAAAGCATAAAATTAAAAATCAAAGCCTTAAACGTTGTTTTTGTTACATACCCTTTTCCTTCATTTGTCGTTTTTTAGATTTTCGCCTTTCAGATGTATTTAAATTAAGACTTCTCCTCCTCAATAAAGTTATTATTGAATCATCCAATTGTCTATAATATTATGATATTATTAGTTATTAATTTCTAAAAAATATAACTATAATTTTTGATACTAAATCTTTGAACTTACTTAAGGGCAGTTCCACTTTCGTCACCATCTTCGTATAATAGTACTGCCTCAAATATTTGTAGTTGCCTGAGAAGATCTAAATCCGTACCTTGTTTAGACATATATAATTGTATTATGTCATCCATACCCTGATCCTGCAGGGCATCAATTTGATCATAATACGTGTCTCTGTCGGGTACGGTGTTAACGCATCTGTTTATTAATGTGGTTGCGTATATTAGTAATTCAGTATCAGAAGCGTCGAAATCTTGAAGAATTTTCATAACGTTGTACCAAGGTTGTCTGCCATGGGTGTTGTCGATAACGTTTATTGCATCGATGAGGAGAAGACAATTCTGTTCTGTGTATTCGACGAAGACCAAAAGGAGTTTTAGGGCTGTTTTTACGACGTGACGAAACTTACTGGATATCAGGGAATACAGCCATTGAATGCACCTTTTATGTGTCATTACACCGTGCATGCCATCAACATAAAGAAGAATCTGGAACATAAAAATTGCATTTAGAATCTTCTATACTAACGATATGTATAGTAAAAAAGTAATTTAAAAATGATAAGATGAGTGAGGCGCTAACCTGTCCAAGAGCCCTTAGAATATAATCAAGATAATTATGGTCCGCCATATTTGCAACTTGCATAAGGCAATCCAAACCTTTGTAGGCGACAAATTCATGGACAAGATCTTTGTCAGTTTGAAGAATCAGTTTAAGCGTGAAAAGTGCTCTGCGGAGTTCTCGCCCTTGGGAATGTAGCAGCCTCTCTGAAAGTCAAGAATTTTTTGGTAAGGTGCAAGTACTATTCGTATTGCTTCTTTATTAAAATTTGAGCTTTCTGAAGGGAAAATAAGTAAAATGAATTACGTATAAAGCTTTTGCAAAAGGCGTAAACTTACCAATAATAGCATGCACTCGAACAGAAAGTTGAGTCCGCAGAATGAGAGCATTTTTGCGACTGAAAGGAACAATAGAAAAATATTTATTGTATATATTACCAAAATCTGGTACACTTTGATATTTTTAAGAAACATTACAATACATTTGAAGCGAAAGTGTTCGACATACAGTGAGAGTATACTCTCTACCTAAATTTTATGTAAAAAGTGCCCTAAAAATATTTGTAGATTCGGTCGCGTATTGACAGAGTACGGCTCCACATACTAAAGATAATCGTCACTTCAAAGTAACGTGTCTAATAAGCAATAAAAGTGGGCTACTAGCCCAAATATAAATGATTAATCAAAATTAAATTTTCATTATCAATATAGTTATATAATTAAGTTTCATTATCAATATAGTTTGATAAAATCACCTACTACTGAGTTAAACGTGGAAAAGGTGACACATTATTAATAAAATCTTTTATTTGATTGTGTTGTGACCGAATAACCATTAGAAACGGATGCTGTTGTCCTATTCTGGGATTTTGTCACATTACTATGCACATTTTTACGGTGGGAGGGCCACGCAGCAGCCTCGGCTGTTGCACGAATGGGCAGGCCCGTCCGGGTAAGTACCACGACCTCACAGAAGACCAGCGTAAAGTGGAAGTATGACAAATACTTTCGCGTTTCGTCTGGTGAGTGAGGTAGCCGGAGCCCAATTTTCAAAAGGTTGTCAACGCATCTGCAACCCTTGAGTGTAGCAGATGTCCATGGGCGGCGGTATTCACTTAACATCAGGTGAACCGTCTGCTCGTTTGACAACTTTTCGCATAAAATAAAAAAAAACATTTTATACATTAAGTCAAAAAAAAAATCAACCATGTTTATTATTTTTCATAAACAATTCATACACAGTATTTTATTTTGATCTTTGACGAAGTAGAAGCCGCAGAAGTTTAATTGAACAAAGAATTCATAATCTATTGTGCCCTAATCTAATACTAGCCTTAGGCACAATAGATTGTGATATATACGAGTAATTAGGGTAAAAATCTAAAGGTAAATATACTTCGTATATTAAAAAAAAGCTGTCATGTGTAAATAATATAAAATATGATTTTTGGTTGCATTAATTTAAACCGATGACCGCTTTTGTCTTCTGTTTATGTACCTACGTACATTTAAATGAAACGAAATATATAATTACTATCAAAATTCAGTTCAATTAGAAACTTTTCACATAAAACAAGAAGCCATTAACAAATATTGCATTTTTTTTTTGTTTCTAGGGTGCATCCTTTAAAGGATACCCATTACCAAATCATTAAATATCATGACTGTAGCTTATTATCTCACATAGTAGTAACATCAGCTTATGAATATTATAAATCAACGTAATAATAAGTAATAAACCAGAGCCTGGGTCTTCCTTTCATTTTCTTAGGATATGGGATATTTTATTTACTAACGATGCAAATCCGCGACGAAATTTATATACAGTATGTGTATAAATTGCGTGTATTACGAGTATGTCGCATGATACGTAATTCTCACCTTTTCCGGACTGAGAGGGCAAGAGGCTTACTATGAAAAGTGCGTGGCCAATCAAGTTTACTACCACGTACTGTATGTGAGTTAGATATGTATTTACGATATTATTGTAATAAAATTTACTTCGAATATACACAAAGAAAGCAATATGGATATTCAATATGGGAATTATTTGGGGAGTAAATACCCCTTAAGAATTGCGGGTGCAAAAGGTCAACGCTTGACGAACATCAATCTGACTTTTGTATTTTTCAGTACATTAATTATCATGATAGTAACTTATATTTTTTATCATTACTTTATGACCTAGTAAGAATAAGTGGTTTAGATGTGATGATTAATGGAAAGATGCTGCATTTCACGATCTCGTACAATATCTAATTTTGATAAGTTGGTGAACATACACTAGTGCAGTGAATTAGTATTTCCAAAATAGGACTTTACTTTAGTGATTCGAAAAATATTTTTAATAACTGTTCGGTATAAATATTATTATAAAAATTGATAATGTGTTTTTTATGTTCCTTGTAAAAAAAAACACTAACAAGCACATGTTTAATGTCTTTTGTTAGAAACCGTTGTAACATTGGCAACTAATTGAATTTTAATTAAATGTAAACTGAATTGTTTCGCAATTACTCTAACTGATTGTCTGATGGTTTATTTCGAAATCACATTTAAGAATTTCGTTAATTTATAAATTCATATGATACTTTATAGCCGAGGAGTTTTTTAAACGAATTGTTGATAAAATAATTCATAACGGTTTGATAAAATAATTCATAAAAACACTTGAGTAGTACATCACGAAAATTTTGGGTGGCTGGTAAAACTGGTGAGCTATGTATCAATCACCATCATGTTAATCAATCCATAGTTGGTACCTCGTACTGCATTATTGTTGTATTTCAAAAAAGTTAAACAGTAACTTATGCATAGCATCCAGTACAGTAAGTTATAGTCGTGATGTGTAACTGCGTAATAAAAATTTTGGGTCAGACATTTTTTAAATCATTGATGTACCATTATACTAATTCATTTCCACTTGTCAATGTAACATGTAATATGAGGGCCGACCAGAGGCTCCAATGGATTATTGGGGCAGCGAAAAATTACTTTTCAATAACTTACTCGGACCAGTCTTCGACCGAATCCAGGAAGATTTCTTCATCGGACATATCACTCTCAGAATCCAGGTTGAGGCAGTTATTTGGGTTCACCACGAAATCTTCATCAGCCGCTATCCCTGAATCCCCGGAGTATTGACGGATCACTTTTACTTTTGGGAGAACGCGGCAGGGCGTATCGTGTACGTTTCCCTCGGTGTCCATACGGCGTGTGAAGCCTTCGAGTGTCTCGTCATGATTCATTTTGCCCACAATTGACATCAACGAGTACAGGATGCTACATTCAATTGTAATGGGAGCGAACGCAGTCGATAAATAAGTCTCCTGGCACACGAAACATTTAAATATCTCATTTAATCTTCGCCGGCACGGTATCATCGACGCCTGCCTTTCTTCACTGTCGAACTTCAACTGTGGCCGCGTGGTACGCCCGGTGGACGTTACCTTGATCATTCTATAATAATGTCACTACGCGAACAGAAGTGAGTAATTTGAAAAAAAAAATAAAACCGATCCAATTGAATACGGCGTAACGTAAATAATACAATTATTTAGCTCGTAGTCCCGTACATTAAAGATCAAGCAGAAAAGTACTATACTATTTTCATGACCTTATAAACACACTAGTATAGCACTGTAATTATAGTTTTAAGTACATACAAAAATGACATATTAGTTAGATTTAAATGCGTGTAATGCCTTTCAGGGAACATGTGTAAATACATAACAGGTATACTCGTATGTGCTCGACGGTTTTCATTGTTTAACTGATTCGTTGTTTTTATTGAACATTCGGCTTCGTTGCAATTGTAATTTCTGGGAAAAACTGAAGACGACTCACGGTTTCGCTTGCTGTTATGGTTTTCTACACTTTCCACACCATTGGTCCTCTCTAGTTCATTTGTATTTTCATTATACAAATAAATACTTAACTCACTCATCACTCATCTCTTCATCATCTCGCCTTCTCATCATCAGATTCCAAGTAAATATAGTTATTATTGTTATAAATTATAAAATGTTAAGTTTTATATGATGTTTTTATCATATTTAATAATTAATACATAAATGATTTATTTTTGCTAGTCTTACAAATGGCAATTTAGTACCAGTCTCGCAGAAAAACAGCTTGAATGACTTCTTTATTATACTTTTTTGTATTGCCAAATTTATTTTTAAAGGTTTCGTTGCAAACCTATATGCAACCTTACAGGTGTTGTGGATGTAGTAAGCAGCGGTAATCAATTACCACAAACCACCGGTTAGCTTACCACCATCTCATATTAAAAGAATTAAAAGTATTCCCGGAAATTGAACTTATCAATTCTCAAATGTGTTTATTGTAATGGATGGGTGTTATATTATTATTAGCACAGGTAAATTATACCAATTTAATTAAAGTTGTCATTGGGGAAAGTGCGGCGTTTACCGTATCTGGTTCGGTATAATATTGACACCGAGCGCCGTATCGTATGGAGAGGAAAGGTTCAACATACAGAAATACCGTTAAATCGAAAACTAATTACCCATCGGCCGGCGATATCTGCGAAATTAGGCAAAAACGCTGGCAATGGATACATTTCGCATGCAACCTGCCCGAAAAGACGTTTACCCGGTTAGTAGCGTAACGGTAACCTAAATAAATCTACATGCGTCGAATCCGGCACTAGACTATTTTCGGTGACTCGGTAAATAGTGCGACGACCTTAAGGCATCGCTTTTACAAGCATTTTCGTCGCGGGCACGCCGCGTTCACCACGGGTTTTAAAACTCCTTAGACGTTGCTCGATGTTACATAACGGATTCAAAAGCGCCCTCAACAAAAAGAAAACTGCTATTGGAAATTTGACTTGGAAACCAAATTATTCCTAACGCTATGCGTATTGAATATACGAAATAAATGTTAGCGGTTATGTTACATTGATGTACAAAATCTATGACACAGTGTGAGATGAATTTACCAGGATAGTGCTGTATTTACATCTTTTAACCGAAGACAGACTGAAGTTTAGTTCTTTGAATTGCCAGTTTCGACTGTGAATAAACTGTTAGTAAAGGATATTTATTCATCGAGATTCCCAAGTGCATTAATAATGTTTTTTATTCTTTTAATTATAAAAGTTTCTGCAATAGTTTCGACCGAAACCAGAAGAGAAGTCTGATATTTAGTCAGGATTTCGATTTCGACTACGAATAGGGTTTCAGTAGGACACTACTAATATCGTTTAAAGAATGTTAGTAGACCAGTTATGCATATTACTGCTATATGCATATTACTGCTATATGCATATAACTGCTATCATAAACATTACTATCATAAAAATTATTTCTGATATAGTGTCGCACCTTAAGAGAGGGAATCGTGCAGTTTTATATGTAGTGCGGTGACATTGCTTTAAAGGCAATTTGATTACACGAACCGCAAATCGCATCCGCCGCTTAGTTTTAAATCTAACGAGGGTCGCGTAGCGTTGTCCTTTGAACGCCCCAAGTGCAACATTAGCTTGTCGATCATCATAAAGCGTGCAGACGTAACCACTTCCCTGTTGGGCGAGCCCGTCCACTTTCTATTTGTTTGTCTTCTATTTTTTTTTAATAATTTCCTTGCATCACAACGGCACGGCTATGCGACACGTGATTATGATACATTTTTGGTGGATCTGTGTTCATTGGATTTACTTATCCGTTCAATGAGTTACGAAGAAGCGTTTCTTTAATAAGTATATTTCAATATAGCTTTTGGTTACTGTGTAAGGTTTTAAACTTCTCCCGCACTTTAGACTGTTCTCTGCAATATTTTCCGGTTGGCGCAAATCTCACCCTCCATGCGTACTTCAAGTCTGTGATAAGGAGAATGTTTTTCGTGGCGAAATAATCGGCATAAGCTCTGTGCTACGAAAGTTTTCATATTTCGATGATCGCAGTATACTCATGACACCATGTAATTTGCCGAAAGCTATAATTTTTATTACTATATTTCAGATCCAAATATAATATATTGTTAAGCGCTCTAACTGATGATTTGGTAGTGTTTCAGTCAGTAGACTAACTAAAGCTTCGTCGAACTACGTCGGTTGAACCCGCCATTTTTATACAGCCTTCCGCATTTGGAAAGAACCGTGTATATGCTCATGATTGAGTTATTTTAAACGAGAGGAATGCCCCCTAAGGGCCATCGAGGTTCTCTACGGACCATTACTTCAGCAGTTGGCCACAGACTTTATAAATGAGGCCGGGGGGCCCTGGAACGCGCTTGTACTTTGTTGGCAGACAAGGACAAACTAACTGGATATTGGTTGTTAGACAACACTACGCCCATAATATTTGTTGGCGTAGTGTTGTGGGACCCCCGGCGGGTCTGACGAGGTGACTGAGTATTACGCAGTGTCATCCGCGAAAAGCGCAAGATTGATTTGTGTCTCTCCTGGGATGTCAGTCGTGTAGAGCGAGAACTGCAAGTGGCATAGATAGGAAACTTGAGGACCGCCCTGAGAGGGTTCGTGAAAAGAGTACCCTGAATTCCATACCGAGATAAAAGAGGGACTCGACACGAAGGCTTTGGATACTGTGAAGAGAGAAGCCGTAGTGATGTGCTTGGAGTGATTAAATCAATAAATAAATAAATATTTAAGGACACATTTTTACACAACGTTCTTTACTCCCAGACTAAGCAACGCTTGTACTATGGGTACTTGATAACTGATAAACATACTTTTCTTTTGTAAATAAATACATGTTATACATACTAAACACTCAGACACTATAAAAACACTATGTTCATCACACAGTATTTTTTCAGTAGTGGGGATCCAACTACGCCATTCGGTTCGTCTATTTTGAAGCCATTCAGAATCAGTGCTCGACAGGAGTAATTCGGCCCAAAGTCAAATTGTACAAAAAGTCAATTGTATTGGGGGGGAATGAGGCCCTTGTATGTAGAGTATACCTCAAAATTATTAGAAACTAAATTTGCTATATCACGATTTACATTGTAGGAATATATTTTAAATATATTTTAAATCCAGTAAAATTAGAGTTAATAAAAATACCGTGTTTTAAAATATTTACGTATTTTTAAAGCTTAAAATACATAAATGCAGTATTAATCTATTTTCAACGTTCTCACTGCGTAATGACTCTTGCATTCTTCCGTCTGATCTAGGATCCGCCCGGTGCTGATCTAGGATCGCAGCTTTCCATTTTACAAACGAACGCGTAAATGTTAAGTGCTTACTATTATAACACAGAAAAGTAATAGACTTTGACTGCTTTTTCTTCGATTTTAATGATGTATGGTTGGTTAATGCATATGATTTTTTAAACAATCTAACTTCTAATCATATTTCCTTGATGACTCGTCGAATTTTTAAACGGATATTATGCTGTTTGTAGTTAATAAAGAATAGTTACAGCATGGTAAAAAAAAAACAGAAATTGCTTATGCTTACCGTGTTGCACCAAAGTTATTTAGTTACTACGCTCCGGTGGTAAAGCGACGAACTCTGGCGTCAAAATGAGTTGAGACGAACAATTCACGTTTCAATCAAAAATAGTCCTGTTGTGATACTCTAATCTGTTTTTATAGACTTGTTTAATAATTTCACGACATGACCTTTGATAAAGTGTTAATAACTGAACAAAACAAAGATGTAAACTATAACAATATTATGTAAACTACTAAAGGAAATTATTTTTTTATTAAAATCATTATTAGGTATAATGGCTTTTTGTGGCAGGGCAACAGCTTATAAAATAGTTATTACTGAAAAATGGACCACTCAGACCACGAATTAGTCCACGGCTTCTGGAGACAGGTGTGAAGTAAAAGTATTTAAACTCATTCGTGTCATTCGGTGAGTGGGAAAGCGTACTTTTAGTGGTTGACAACACGCCTGCAACATCTGTAGTGTAGTGTCCTCAGCGGAGGACCTCCCATACCAGTTATCATTACTATAGTAGCGTTTTAAATTAATAAAGAGTGGGGGTATATCCAAAAAAAGCATAATACTTGTCTTGTAGTCCCTCCAGCTCTTCATCTTGTTCACCAAGAGTTGAGTCCAGGTCCAAGTAAGCCCCGTAGTCACCATCTTTAAACACCTGCAGCGTGACATCGTCGAGCTGGAACACATAAATTTTGTCAAAAATTTGTTTTAAATAGTAGACTTCTACTAAACTAAATAAACTTTTATTTAACGCCATCTATGTTTATATACGCTTAAGCTTCCTTAGAACTTGTTTTATTATTGCGAAATATGTTAGAGAAGTAATCATTTAACGATAGATGGCACTATAATATATTAATGAGAAATGTAATGGCTACAATGATTAGATCTATACAAATAGGAAGTAGACTAGCGACCCTCCCCGGCTTCACACGGGTGCAATGTATTATACATATGAACCTTCCTCTTGAATCACTCTATCTAGTAAAAGAAAACGGATCAAGATCCGTTGTGTAGTTTTAAAGATCTAAGCATACGTAGGGACAGACAGACAGCGGGACGACTTTGTTTTATACTATGTAGTGATGCACAGCAAAGAGACGTTTACAGTTCAAGTGACATTTTATCACAGTTACTCACTTGTTTTGCCTTCCCGGAACCGCTCCACTAACACTTAAACTTTATGGTATGGTATTAAAGTTCAAATGGACTTTTAAGTATTATTACAAATCTTTTGTACGGGAATATAGAAAAGTGTTGTTTTTAGACATTTTCAGGCAATTTTTTAATTTTTCTCTTCGTAAGAACCATCTTCCTACTTCAAGGAATATTATAAAAAAAGAATTAGCGGCTGGACCGATTTCCAGCCGTTCACGCGTGATGGCGTGACCAAGGGAAATAGGGATTCACTTTTATATATACAGACAAAGATATATAATAGATATGAAATAGCGCACAGAAACTAATATCCGTTTTCGCCATCCACTCCTAACTTTAAGGTGCCACCTAAAAAAATTTAACAGCCAGTTTAATATTCACCACTGCTTAAGTGTCACCTAGTTCCAAAAGTCTTCTTAATCTTAAGCGGTACCTTAAAAATAAGTCCTCGATGTCGGCCTTTTAGCGCTAAGTGACAGTTTTTCTTTTGTGAGCGCATGCGAACAATTTGTCTGTCAAGTTTTAATGATATTGCTTCATACTTCTATAGCGATTAAAGTTTTAAGGAAAGAAATTTACATTTAATATATAATTGTAATTTCAACTATATAAAATGGAAAAACATTTTGACTCTGTTGTTGGGTTGAAACTTAAAAATAAAAATACGATGTACCGTACTGATTAAGTCTGGCGCCTGGCTATTGGTGAAAATGATTTTAGGTGACGGACTGATTTAGGGAATCCCTTAGGTTAGGGCACCCATAGTTAGGGGCCGTTTGTGGGTATAATGGTGAAAACGGGCATAAGGCACTCAAATTACTTCAATTGGTGCACTTAGTTTGCGACTCTATAGACTAATATCTGTTTATATAAGTGTTCAATATTTAATTTTTTTTCCACTCCGTGGAACCAACTGCCGCCGGCGGTCTTTCCGAACCGTTACGACTTGGGAACCTTCAAGAAGAGAGCATACTCTTTCTTAAAAGGCCGGCAACGCATTTGTGAGTTCTCGGGTTTTGCAGGTGTTCATGGGCGGCGGTAACCACATACCATCAAGTGAGCCTCCTGCTCGTTTGCCTCTTTTCTCTATTAAAAAAAAATAAGTGTCAACAGTACACTTCAACGCGGTATTGAAAGGGGTCTGACAGATCCTCTCCAGGATTTGGATTACGCCTTAGACTAGACGATTTGCAGAGAGAGGCAGCTTTGCTTTGAAAGCATTGGCGAGGAATACGATGGATATAAGTAAGTATTACATAATTTTAAATTAATATTGATATTATTTTTTATTGACGGGGAAACTATCCAGAGCACTGATATAATCCATTTATTATTAATATACCATACCAATGTGATTATTTCAATGGGAAAAAATAGGTGGGATGGATATTTTTAAAACCCCTTTACTGCGACCTTGGGACCATAAAGTTTTGCCCTTACTGGCAACATTGTGCCATTGAAGTAACATAACTGAAGCAGCACTTAAATTAGAGGCATGATAAGATTCAAGATAATATTTTGTATTAAATCGATAACTAAGAACATACTCTTTTTACGGTATATCTTCATACTCTCATGGTACTAACCACTGTAACCACCATCACTATCTTCCTCAAAATATTCAAAATAATGAAAATTTCGAACTAATCAAACAAACTATAAAATATAATGTAAAGGGTCCAAGCACTATTTATAGATTTCCAAATCGTCGCAGATGCAACTCGAAATGCATATGCTTAATATGTGGTCATTTGTGTAATTGTGAAACAGTTCCCACACTTAATGTGTCGCCAGTGTCTTAAACGCAAATGCGACCATGCACCTGTGTGCTTGGCGCAGTGCCATGGCAGACTGTGACCACTGGACACAGTATTGTGGGAAACTGGAGCGTGGCTCGGAAATAGTTTCTCCAGTAGTTGGCGTCACATCATTCCGAATTTTAATTAAATTTATTTATAGTCTGAAAAAGTCAATGCTCACCGAACGGTTTGTTACTACTGCACTCAGCGTTAGCAGATTTGATATTAAAAAACTTAACTTGATTTAACAACTTTTGCTTGACAGTACGTTAAGCAAACCTTCATCATCATCATCATTTCAGCCTGTTTGAGTCCACTGCTCAACATAGGCCTCGCCCACAGATTAGCAAACTAGACACAAGCAAGAGTAGGTGTTAGATTTCCAAGTAGACGATCATGCTAAATTATTATAAGGAGTTTCGGATAAATTTGTAAAATGTGTCCATGAAACAAAAAATGTTTAGTTAACCTGTTTTCTCACTGTGTTTAATAAAATTCATGCGAAGCGTATTTATTTGCGTAAACAATGAGACGTGCAAAAATACTCACTACGTGCACGTGAGGTAGATGACACATGTTTAAAATTTTCGGATTACTCCGAAATATAAAGTTGTTGTAGTGCTACTAGCTCTATAGTCCGTGCAAATGTAAAATATTATAATACCAGTCTATGTTCTCATAGAGTCTCAAAGCATAGGAGTTTATAAATTACTGAAATAATGACTCGGTGGCGCCGTTGATAAGCTATTTTATTTTCGGCGTCAGTGGTCGTGGGTTCGATTTCCACACGGCACAACTATTTATTTGACCTACAGATAATTGATCCGGATCTGGATGTTTGTTACCCGATGAGGTCGAACAAGAAAAACATAGCAAACCTTAACATTATTAACGTAGTAAATTCTTTGTGGTGCCAAATAAAGTATATGTAATACTAATAACAACCTTATACATCTATCTTTAATACATTTCTATGACTTCATTGCATATTGCATCGGCGAAAGAGGCCATTGTATATACTCGTATAAGGAAAGGAGGGGGTAGTAAAAGTTGAAGCTTATTTTTTTAAGGAAAAGCATGTATAACTGTGTCACACAATGTAGAGGTTAAAATTGTTACAAGTCCCACATAAATCGCACGCAAGATAGGTATTATGTGATTGTAAGCATTTTCCTAAAAGCTTAAGCAGCTTCCGGTGGGAAAAAATGTCCTTGAACATTGAGTCTCTTCTACCTATTGGATTGTTTACTCAAATGTCAAGTACTAATTGACAATATAACCTAAATAAGAAACGAGATTTGCATTTGTACTATTATGGGTCGTTAGATTTCGATAGTCGTTACTCAACTACTGTGTTACATAAAAGATTAAATGCAATGCAGCGCGACATTGTCACATATTAGTAAAACACGTTGAGAAATTACTGATAACACTTTGGAAAAATAATTAGAATATGTTTTTAAATATTGTTTTAATATTGTGTAATGATTCTTCGTTCACAAATCGGTAAATTATATAGCGGTTTGTTTCTAAGAATTATTCGTTAAACACTCCAATAAGTTACAATTATCTGACCCAATTATAACCTGTTATTTATCTCAATAGCAGAATTGTAACTATCAATTATTAAATTTTTAGAAATAGGGATGTCTAGATATAAAATTCAAAGTGAAATATTTATTCAATCTAGGCTACTTTCAAGTTCTTATGAATAAACTACAACTGTTTTAGAATTTAAGGATTATCCAGGAAAAGCGTTGGTTTTTAGTTAATTACCGTATATGAGGCATTCATCAGATTTGTTGGTATTAGTTTTCGGCTGGAAACTTCCACGGCCTTACAGGTAAAGTAGAAGTATGCCACACGCCCACCCCAAAGTTCGGTTGGCAACACATCTATTCGGTTTACCTTCCAAATAACATGAAAATAAAACATCCATAAGACCATAAGACGAGCAGTTGGTATCCGGAGCGCAAATGCAGAGTCATCTTCATACATCTTTGGCCTTAATAAACGTTTTGATTTAAAGAATGTAATAATTTTACTATTACTGATTTTATCCTTATTTATTTTAACATGTTTTGAAACGGTTACATGCAATTCCATTGCAATAATAGCGATTGTGCCAACATAAAAATTTTATTTCCTCTAAAATATTCCACGCTTGTGAAAATTGAGCTTAATTTAGACGATAGAGTGCGCTTTCAAATACAACGTTTAGAGACCTTAACACACGGTAACATATAAGGCAAGTCACAGCCCCTTTAAGACAATATACTACATGTACATATATATGTTTACATACATATGTTTACTTTTCCACCATATTTATTTTCCATCCGTAAAAGTATTAGATTAGGAGTGATTTTAATTTGGCGAAACTATTGTTTTGTTTGGTAGACAATTTAATTACGCCCTAGTCTCGGATGGAACTAATTTAAGTCGGATAGAAAGTTGTTAACAATAGTGTTAAACAATCTGATGATATTAGATAACACGATTAGCGCGATAACGTCTGACCGCACAATTACGTATAAGTAGATCGAAAATACATTGGGATGCTATTTTGCGGTTGGCAATTAACGTTTAAGTAATTATGGTATTGTTATTTACAAATGATGTTTATTTGTCTAAAGCCCAGTTATAATTAACTCGTGTTTGTGAGCTGATTTTTATTTTCATATAATGGTTTCTTAGACATGGTCAGAGTTAACGGGAATAATTATAATTGAAATATTATTGTAAGTCATCCGGTGCTATAAAAATAGACGACAGCAGTGTTACCAACTGTTGAAAAAAAACTCTAAAGCTCCTAAAGCAATTCAAAAACCTTTAAAAAATATATAAATCAAAATTCAGTCAGTATATCATGTGTACCAGCTAGATCATTCAAGTGCTAGTCTTGAATTGTTTTGTAAAAGAATATGCCTTTATAATTAAGTTTGTTTTGACTATGCTCTGTTAAAATAAGGTTTGATCAATTTTATTTTGTTCTACATTTTTAAAAACGTACAATTCATTCAAAAACGTACACTCAATTTCACGGTGGTAGGGCCACGCAGCAGCCTCAGTGGAAGTATGATAAATACTTTCGCGTTTCTCTCTTCTGGTAAGTGAGGTAACCGGAGCCCAATTTTCAAAAGGTTGTCAACGCATCTGTAATCCTCGGGTGTGGCAGATGTCCATGGGCGACGGTATTCACTTAACATCAGGTGAACCGTTTGCTCGTTTGACAACATTTCGAATAATAAAAAAAAATCAGGTAAGACGTTTGGTTCTTGGCCTGCCTCGCCTATATCCATTCTCGGTATTAGAATAATATATCACGTAACGGCTCTTGCGTGGGCGGGTGTATTAAGCCATACACTCCAAAATTGGCTATTCTTGTGAAAAAATATTTGAATACTAACCCAAACAGAACATTTGCAATGCTAAAGATCGATGTCTCGATTGTGTATTTTGTCTTGACACGGCAACACGGCCAGTTAAGTCTTAACCCTTTCAAAGACTCTGTGACTTATAAAGCTTAATGAATCCCTAAGTTTCAAAGCGAGACATGGTGGTCATAAAATTGGGACGGGCGTCGGCATTCCGCGGAATTTGGACCTGCGGGCAGGAAGCGGCTATCGCAAAGAGCGGATCACGGGTGCACCTCTCACCTGAGCGCGGCACCGAGAGGTATTTAACGCGGTTAAATTTAGCCAAACTCCGCGGTGACTAAGCGTGTTAGTAACGCTATCAGCGGCTGGTACATTCGTGCATTTTGGCACGGATCAAGCCGGCTGCGTTTGGAGCTTTACGGAGACGATATTGCAAATGTGCGGAAGACTGAACCTGTTTGAGTTTTCCCACATTACTATTCACTTTCTTTTAATTACACATTTGACAGCTATTGTGTACGAATGACATATAAGCATAAATTGTTGGATTCGTTGATAGGATACGTTTCCAACTTTATGCAGTCGGTTGCAAATAAATATAGGTTTTCAATAGGTATTTTATTATTATGTTAATATTTGATAAATTCAAGAAAATACATAGTTACGTTTGAAAATTATCATTCAAACGGCGATTTTCTTAGCAAAGTACAAATTATGGGTTTTATTATCTAAAAGCAATTTGAATGGATTGTTTGTCTTAAATTTATAGAAATTTAACGAAAATATTTCCCTCAATATGAAAATTTTTATCGTAGTTGGTTACTGTATCGGAAATTAAAAAATATAATAAAACACTTACCCGATGTGGGGCTTGCAATAAACGATGGACGGCAGCAATTTGATATGATAGCGGAATAGTCGTGTTGAAGGTATGGTACAAAGGCCTGGTGGGTTCTCTTACGTTGTACTCAATGAAAGGGTCCAAATCGTTCAGGTACTGAACCCTGCACACAAATGAGTCCGCGCCAATGTCTCTTACGGACCCATTGACTCGAATACTCTCGTTCACCTTCACCAATTCGATCATTTTATCTCACTGCACTAATAAACCCCACTGGTGAAATTATTTGGGAATCACCGTCTATTGCGGTCGTTCTATCACATCGTTACACTAAGCATAAATGTGGAAAAACTATAAAAGAAAAAATAAAACTGAAAAGTTTCAGGATAAAGAAATCCACACCAAGAAGCTGTCGGAGCCGGTTGTAAATTTCTTTGTTCAGTTTGTTTGTCTTTCCTGCCAACGTAGTGTTGGTTCGCGCACCGCCTAAAGACTATTGAGCGTTTGCGGGCGGCGAGTAGCCGCTTCTTGATAAGCGATAAACAGCTATGCGATAACAAATTCGTATATAATTATATTGAAAACAAAAAATGGCGGCAAAATACACCTCTCGCTTTAGCCCGCCTTAAGTACTTTGACAACATCGTTATCACAAGGCACTGGGTTGTTATAGACAAAGAGGGGTATTATTCAGGCATCATCATTGATAATAGATTAAACGTTCTTAAATACTTTTGTATGTCAGGTCAAGGGGTGCCTTCACTTTATGCAGTTAGCCTAAATTTATAGGAAATAAATTCGGCTAAGATTAACCTGTCATTGCTCCGCACAATAGACTTTTGTGGGACCAATTCGGGAGATATCATTATTTCAGAAATAAAAATGATGGATTTTTGCGAAGGTTCTTTTTTCAAACAGTTCTTATTGAGGCGTATGAATTAATAATAAGTATGTTATGTGGCGCGAAAAATCGAACAAGTTTTTACGCGTTTGGAATGATAATGTATGCAAGGTTTTCAGTTGGAGAGTCATCGTGATTATGATATCTTTAGGTTTGCATAATATCTAATTTTATCTTAATGTTTAGTTTAATATAGCACTCGTTATAACTACGTACGGAAATAAAGATATATTTATTTTAATATTAATTTACAGTTATTATGTCATTATTATTTTACAATTTTAAATATTAACACAAATAAAGTTAGTTTTGAGACAATTGAAGGGATGTCATTATTTTTTTTTAATCTATAACCTCCTTACGCTGTTGTGGCTAACTATAATCAATTCTGAATTAGCGATGAGAATTTCATCACGATTGTTACAAAGTGTGTTCCAATATCATTTGTTATAGTTGCTTCGTTAGGTACGATCCAGTATTTATTATATTGACTGCCCTCTGCAATAAATTAAAGCAAAAACTTACATGGTTTTAACATGCGCTGATATTAATGACCATGTCTGATACTAGGTTTTGTCTCGACTACAATTACAATATATATATATATGTGTGTAATACGTGTTCAAAGTTTAACACTTTTGATTATATTTCGAAAGAACTTCTGGTAATATTAGGGTAAAATAATATCATATTGTATTATTATAGAAGAGTTCAAGATCCGACACAAAATTATTTAAGCCTTGAGAACGTCGGTGGCTCCTAAGCATAACGGCCGGACAATGGGCATTTAATAAAAGCTTAACGGTTCAGACATTACGACATTTTGGCTCCGTTCGTTGATGACCAAGCCAGGCGCTACAAGGCGTGAAGAGTTCAACACTGAAAATATATTTATTACGCCCTGTTAAATTCATATGCAATAGTTGCTAAACCGTTCGTATGAAACTAATTATAGTGTTTCCTCACAACATGTCTGGCGAATTATATCGTTGTGACATACGAAGTTTATTTTTAACGGTGCTTATTAATGGTCACTAGTAATATAATAGTTAACTGCAAGAAACGCGTATGAAAAATGATACACCACAATGTAGTGGCATTCCCAAGTATCTGATCGGGAAATAGTTGCATGTGGGGTCGACGACCTCTAACAAGTCGCGTTGACTGTCTCTCGTTGCTACTATTCATTACGTCTTTGATTGGGGACACGAAGAAAAATGTGCAACTAAGCCCCTTTGTTTGAATTATTATTTCAGTGTTTTAGAATATTCCGAGACTCGCAAATACACGAGATACGTTTGTTTTCTCTGTTGTAAACAATTTGCATTAAGGAAGATTCTTAATTAAAGCTGATAGCTCTCTCGCACCTCCTTATTTTCTCTATTTATTTTTCGGTGGACTGGTTAAGAAAACCTAAAACTGTTAAACCCACCATTTTATGTTTTTGTGTGTGTTAAAAGATTTCAACTAAATAAAGAAAATTAAGTAAAATTTTCTAATGTGGAAAAATATTACTGATGAATACCGATTACATTATATTCGTACATGGAATATTATATTATATGGAATATTGTTTTACAATAATCAATTGCTGTTACTGATCGCCTACATTTATAACATTTCACAAAATGCTGTAAAGTACAATATTAAGATAGTCTAATTTAAAGTTAAAGATCATAACGGAATTTTACAAAAATCAAAATCAAAAAAATCAAAAATATATTTATTCAAATAGACGCTTGCGCGCTCTTATGAATCGTCAAATTTTACATCAAAGATTATGTGTATAGGTTCGTAAGGTACCTCAGCGCTTTATTTGCAACTTTTGTATTTTATTTCCAACTGAATAACTTTTCAAAAGATATTATTTAGGGTAAGCATGGATACAAGTAGATAGTAACTCTGCAGACGTGTTTTCGACTTAACAATGTACTTTCGTTTCAATTAAATACTTTAACAAAGGATGACTCTTATAAAAAACATCACGTATGACATATTCTTTATTTCATTAAATTGTAGCAACACGAATAATTTCCAAATACATGTCCTATTGAATTTCGTATTTGAATAACAATCGCGAAGTATTTTGAAACCATTTTATGGCTACGGGCAAGATGTTCCGGAGAGAGGGATTGTGCAACGTGATCTTAATACCGACGCGAGCGGTATCCGGGCCTCCCAGGAAAATCACTATTAGTGCAATTTAAAAAAAGAACGCGTTTCTATGGCGAGATTCGTTTTACGTTACGTTTTACGTTAGAAAAATGTAAGCTATTTGTTACGTCGCTAATGTACAATATTAGTTGTTGTTTTCGAGCGTCAATTACAAAAATTGTTTAAATGTCCCTAGTCTCACAATTGATGTTTATGATTAACTCGAATTCCATTCTTGGAATGCGCTGAAAGATACTTTCTTTCGGGTGTGTATATATTGATTTAGCTTTTGTCCATCCGATGATTTAATCTTGGTCAAATGGTTTACTCTTAATATCATTATAGATAATTCATTTTGTCTTTACTAATCTTTATGTTGTGTTATTGGGTAAAAGCCAATTTTGACCAATATCATAATTATCTCAATACATGTCAGAATAAAATGTTGTTCTACTTATCCCAACAATAACAAGTTAACACTCTCGATGTTGTAGAAATATAAGGAAATATGTTTGCCAGTGTCACCAGAAAGGGGTTTGGTATCTGGGGGTATGGAGGGTACTTATAAAAATATGTTTCCATGGTCGCCCATTTTTTTTGAACGATATTTAGGTTAAGCGCGGAAATCGGAATGACCGCCTCGTTTTGTAGGGGCATCGCGTTGTGTCGTGATGGCGGCGGCGACCCAGCACTTGAACTTACGCGACCCGAGTCGTGTATAGGCACGATCACGACTTTCGTTGTCTTCCACCCATACAATTCTAGCCACGGCGGGCTTTCGAATATTGTCTGGTGCGTACTAAAAATGTTAATAATAAACATTCGAACTAAAAATTTAAGTGACACAAGTCGCCACAGACTAATAACGCCAAATACGTATAATGTTTTTGGCAGAAATTTGAAAAGTTGAAAGTCGTTGAAGCACACAGGTGAGTTCTACATGGTAGATACAGTACACTTGAATCACTGTTAACTCAATGTAGTATTAATTATGATAGCTTTGACAACTGAGGTTTGTAAGTGTAATGTGAAAAAACAAGTTGGTTTTAAAAAGGATTTTCAAAATTATTTCAAACAAAATAACAGTCACTTCCGCGATTTTGGGTCAATAACTGAAGTGCCAAACCCTTCGCGTTCCACGCACATATTATAATTAATAGTTGAAACTAGTCCCGCTGATTATTGCAGGCTCGAAACTGACAGCAATCATTACATTGACAAGAGTTAGGGTTGATAACGTGCCAGTTATTTCTAGCAAAATTGCACTGACATAAAAATAAGTATTAGTGAGGCGTATGTTCTTTATTGTTATGAGATCTTTATTGTTGAACGCATTTCAATTCTTGAATGAAGACAGCCTGGATGGTGTGACACATGGGTTATATTTTATACCGCAAACATTATCTAATTCATCTTATAAATAAATGACGTGGATAGGTTTTACAGCTATAGGATTTTAATTGATTAGATGTTGATGCAGTAACCGTAAACTGTGATATTAAAATTGTACAATATTTACACTGCCAACCTAAAATCTGAATCATTATTTGATATATGTTTACTTTTATACGTATGTAAGAAGGTATTATACTTTCTTAATTTAAGATAGAAAGTTTGGTAGCATTAAAAAGAATCGACTTCAAAAATCTCTGACAGGACTAAAAATTAAAAATAATACTAAATCTAATATAGTGAAATCCTGAAAATGTAACCTATATAGGTTACATTTGTAACCTATATAGGTTACATTTGTAACCTAACCTTCTTAAACAAAATTTATCATTTTTTTGGATTCAGTGCCATTGTTCATCATTAATCATGGTGATAAGGAAACCCAGATCATCAACCCAACCCTTGGGTTATATCTTTTCCAACGAAAAAAGAATCATCGAAATCGCTTCATAAACGACGAAGTTATCCGCGAACATACATAAAAAAATATATACGGCCGAATCGATTTAATTAAATAACTTTGAATTATAAGTAAATGTCAAAAAGTTGTTATTGGTTGCCATGGTAATACCGTGAAGTTGGTCGCCTTGCATTGCAACAGACTTCATTTATGGAGGTCGGTATGCGAGCACATTGGAATAAGTTTAATCCTTATAATTGTTTACCAATGCGCCAAAAGAAATATAACTTAATAAACTATTAAGATTAGATATACAATTTATAACATTTATCTATAATATCTATATATATGCTTGAATAGCATTTGACAACATAAAAACAAATAATATTATAAAGAGAAAGAGTTGTTATTTAGCATAGTAAGTTTTACAAAATAAATAGTGGCATCCCTAACCGGATGCTTGCATTCGTTGGATTAGATTGTATTCTATTCTAATTTTACCGAAATTGCGTAATTCCTGAGTGCAAAGTCCAGACGGTGTTGTGCAACGTGCGAAATTTGCCGTTGTGGCCTCCGTGTTAATTTTTCTTATCTTATCTGTGTGCAGTTCCGTAGTTCCCGCGTTATTCCACAGCGGGCAATTTGCGATGATTGACAATAAAGTAATAAATAAGCTTAAACATTGGTTTTCTAATAATCCTGTATTGAACATGTCCCACTGCTGGGCGAAGACCTCCTATGTACAGGGGGTATTAAGATTAAGGCAGAGTTTACCACGCGGCCCCACTGCACATAATATCTTCAAAATATTATTTTTGTTATTATTTCCAAAATATACAGTTTTCCTCACGACGTTGAAATTTATATTAGCCCTTAATTTTAACAATTTCATTGGGGCTGGCACCAAGATTTAATAAGCTCAGGTTGCTCGAGTATATTGAATAAAAGGCAATCACCCAGAAACTGAGCTATCACGGCTAATAATTCTCAAAAATAAATTAATATTATACATACTTGTATAATAACGAGATATCTGTTGCTTGTAGTAAGAGGACATTGTTAGGTGCAGCTTACTCAAAAAAACCTGAAGTTTTCAATGATAATGAACTTGAATACGTAAATAATAAGAGAAATTCAAAGCAAAATCCTGTTGGATTTGTTACGTTTATTTATTAATTTCATGTACGAAAAATATTTTATTGGTCTTGCAAGTCTTTACCGAATATTATAATTAATTTGCAAATGACATATCCTTGCATTTCGAAGGTAAAAAACATTGAAGCGTTACTTTTTTTGTTACTCCATTAATGTTAAATTGCATGAGTAGGTAGGTATTTACTTACGAGACTAAGCGAACAACATACAAATTATAAACATGAGCACTACGATTATAGTAGGTACTAATCTGAGTGTATATTTTCAATTCATTTTCTGAAAATAATGTAATAATCCAACTAGTGATTTCTACGTTTATTTAAACCCTGTAATAAATTTTGCAGCGACCGTCTTTTTTTTAATAAATTACTATAAAAACAAGATAGAGCTTATCAAAGTTGCGAGACATTGCAACGCGTGGAAAGTTGGAATGCAACTTTCTGCGTTTAGTATATTTTATAGTGTATAAAGCCATAATCGCTTTCTAATATAACTTAAACTTGTCTTCTTATTTTAGAATACTAGTAGTATCATAGTATGCTCGAATTAAGTTATTGTCTTTTATATATAATTCCTTCGGATTAGAATCTATCCATATAACGGAAGATAAGGATACTTCAAAGTTACTAAAAAATTTTTTTTTAAAGTACTCGTACTTTTTAATAAAACTTAATACATACTTCTTGCGAAACAACATACGAATTAACATAGTCTCCCCACTATAATAGATCTGACATCAACGTTGAGCAACATGTTAAGTGGTTTGCAAAACAAACCATTGTCGCGGTCAAAGATTTTTTTTTAAATTTACACTATTAACTGTTTTAAATCGTACAATGATTAGTTACAATGATAGCACAATAGATTGACGTCAAATCGTGTTGTTCATTCAAAATGGAAAATTTAATTAAAATAAATAATTGGAAAATTAAGGCTTTCTTGTCAAAAAAGTGCTGGCTGCTTTACACGTAACGGCTCCTTGCATAGGGCTCTTGTTGCCAATATTTCATTTATTTTAGAGCCCTATGGCAATTTCCGCGACGATGGAAAGAGTCCCGACGCCTTGACTTTAATCCTTTGGGATAGACAAAGGAATGCAAAGTCATCGTTTGGGATGCTACTTATGTAGACACTTTGGCTGCCTCTCATCAACGCGTAAAAAGCAATAATAACCTAACGTAATTTAAACTTGTTTTCCTATTTTAGAATACTAGTAGCATGCTCGAATTAAGTTATTATGTCTTTTATATATAATTCCTTCAGTCTAGAGTCTATCGATATAACGGAAGATAACGATACTTCAAAGTAAAATTTAGCCCCAGTATTTTTTTTAAATAACCTGTTCTTTTTTAATAATACTTTTCAAATCTCGAGCAATTTTAAATTCTATTGTGCAAGGAAATGCTGCTATCGTTCTTGGATAAATTAATTGTATTAATTACATAATTAATTGTATTAGTACATAATTTAATTACGTTTTTCACAAAATCGAAATAGAAACATAAACGTAACTCGTATCCCAACAAAACGTGTGCTGTGTTCTCTTGTTTAGTCCAACATTTCGCGTAGTTTGCATTGGCAATTATTACAAAACGAAATCGTCACGATGCTCGAAGCGTCACTTACTATGGCGGTCGTGTTCGGCGTACGCGATGGTACGCACTTTCAACAGTTCGCGGCGGGTTCTGTCGCCGTATCTGCCACTTCCGCTGTTAGGTAACCTCCTATTAAGGCGAGTTGGCGTCATGCACTGTACGACGTCAACTACAACGGGTGCCCAAAAGTTTCCATTTCAACAACATATAGACCGTGTGTTCGCGAACTTAGCAATGTTGTTGCGAAACAATTTCCGCGTATTGTCGTCCTAAGGTTATACATTCACACTGCACTTGGACGATCTGAACGCGACATTACTGGTTCCGAGTGGGAATCCAACTTACCAGTCGCGAAATCAATAGCGCTTTTGAGCTACTGGAGCGATGATAAACATAGAATCACTTGGATCCATCCCTTCTCCGCATGAAATCAGGACGTAAGTTTCCTGTCGTGTGGAATTGTTTTTAAAAACTCAGTTCTTGTTCGGTTCGTGAAATGTTGAATACCTTAATACCGATTACAAATTGCTGATTTCGCACGTTTTGCTAAAGGCTCGGTCAGAATCACGCGTCAGCGTCCCGCCGACAGTCCCCGTCGTAGTGAGCGTGAGTTTTCGAGCATTTTTGAACTACATGTCAGATGTGGAAACGGTATATATGCATAGCCTATATGAGTGCATGAAGTAAATAAAAGGCGTCTTCATATCGATTCTAAATCATCGCATTTAAAGTAGCATTTTTGTATTGCGGATGGCTCAAGTCATACAAAGCAAGGTGGCCTAGAACATTTTTTTTTCATCCTCCAAAGAGAGGTCTTCATACTCCAAAAGAGAGCTATTCAAGCAGATATTAGTCTGTTATTGTTTTGACATCTAATATGTTGTAGTATTTACTTGGCAACGACGTCAAAATTAGAAAATACTTATTTTGAAGTCGGTTTCTTTTTGTTAAAAATTATCTTAGAGACGGTTAAAATGATTAATACTTCTAGTTTCTAGCACTCACTCTGTTGTCTCTGGAGAAATCAGTTCTCGATATCGACAAGTCTCCATACATTATTCTACATCACAAAATCACCTAATCGTTAAAGAGTTGTACAGCTCGGCGTCATGAGATGATAATAGCCATACGCAAAACCTTAATAGCTTTAGAAAATATTTAAAAACATTGTTAATACCTATAACATTTGAGGATTGCCTCAATTTTACTAGGATGTCATTATCATATCCTGGTTTCCTTAACATGATACCACTCTTGAAATATCTTCTTTCCAACAAAAAAGAATCATCAAAATCGGTTCATAAACGACGAAGTTACCCGCGAACACACAAATATATATATATATATATATATATACGGTCGAATTGAGAGGATGAAAAGATTACTTTTTTTATGGCCGTGCAAATATTAGTATATTTCCTAATTTTAAATCAAAACTAAATAACTATGTATGTGGATGTCACGTCTGCCACGTGATCTACACAGTGTCGGTGATGTCTCCTAACGAGATTGACCGTGACAGCTACGCGTGTATACAGGTACGCGTATGGTACAATTGGAAAAAGTAAGCGTTTAATCCGTATAATCTTATTTGGGACAATTACAGCAAAAATAAAAACTCTGTCGCTAACTTCTCAGGGAGCCCCTTAGCGAGATGAAAGAAATGGTTCGGTTAAGGCATTTGCTGATTTGGTTTATGCCTTATAATTTTATTTGTGATACAAATACTTTAAGGACCTTAATTTCTTATGGGTTCATATAAATGTAAATGAAATATATTAGATCGTGACTTATCATTTGAATATATAAATACATAAATGTGCGTGCTATGTAGAAAGTTTAACGTTACTTAGTCAATGCCCCCTAGTCCCTTTACTATTAGTTTTTTAAAAGATCATGTAAGCTGATATCACTTCAGTACTACTTTTTTTGTATTTATTAGAAATATTAATTTATCTTGTTCATAGCTTCAAACTTTGTACTGAATTTATTAACAGTTTTATCAGGTTTCAACTATTTTTTGATGGTGGAAGATTTTTTAATGACTATATTGTCTAATAGTGAATTTTTTTTTGGGCTGGATGAGCCACTGTTGGCCTTAGGGGCCTTTACAGTTCCGACGGGCTTGAGGTGGCCTGGCGCACGAGGCGCCTAGCCTGAACCTCGGCGTACTATTATTACGCGTTATGGTGACTAAGCTCGAGGGCTTCCCGGGGAGCCTTGGCTCGGGCCGTCACGCTATTATTATTACCGGTTTGGGAGGCCGCCAAGCTCTTAGGGAGCTGTGGCGGGCGCTCCATGGAGTGATCAGGCTCAAGGGTCCCCGAGAGGGGACATCAGCTTGGGCTGTCACTCAGTACGCGTTTAGCATTCCGATTCGAGGGTGCCCGAGAGGGCCGGACCTCGGCTCGATCGGTAGCTATTATCTGACTGGACTAATAGTGGAGTTATTTGAAATAAAAGGTATGAAAGAAACTGACAAGAAAAATTTAAAATGGTTTGGTGCAGAATTTATAGAGGAATTTCTTAATTATTTACCATTTCAAATGCGTAAGCATATAATTAATTATGTCTAAGTATTATTAATAAGTTCATTAGAATTTTTCACACGCAGTAAGTCGATTGTATCCAAACGGCTGAAATATTTTTAGTGTTACGTGCTATAAACGTAATTATTGAACTTTTACAGATGTTAATTATATAACGAGTAAGCGGCATAAGAAATATATATATAAGCGTAGTAAAAAAATAATTATTAACATGTTTTTCCATTTTGCGAAATACTGTTACTTTAAATGGGGAAGGAGTGTAGATTTTACATCGGGTAACAAGTTATTATTCCTGTTAAACAGTGTTAGATCGGGCTGGAAAAAAGTTAACAGCAAAGTTGATGGATCTACACGTTGACAGTTAATTATTGTATCCGTACGGGCTATAATATTCATTTTCTTACTACGGCAAGAACATATTAATAATATAGTTTATAAAAAAATATAGTTAATAATTTATATGTCATCTCTTATGTACTCGTGAGTCCCGTACGGTGACATTCATTACCTGGCCGCATGACTGACTTCACATTTCGTAGAACACTGGAATACTCACAATAACATATGTTCGCGCTGTGGTGAGAAAACGTAAACAATACCGGGTGCAAACATAGCCGCATTCTATATTTAATGCCATTATGTAATTGTAGGTCACTCGTTTTTACACAGAATCTTATTATTGAATATACAAGTTGCATGGAGCGATTACTAGCGGTTTATATATCCCCGACAAATCTAAGTGATACTCTGATAGGAAAAATAAATAAAAATCCTCGGAGAGCGCCATGATCACTGTTAAGCGTAATAAATAATAGAATAAAATATAAATATTATCATCGAATATAAGAGATATTCACGTCACGATTAAGGAGTACTCTCACATAAACCTATATGAAACTTCTCTTCTATATGGATCCATTGCTAGTAAGGCAATTTATATGACGGGCAAAGCGTTTATCGTTTGGGATGTAACCACTTGCGAAACTGTGCTGGCCACCACTGTTCGTAAGGAAACTCAACTTTTTAAGCATTCCTCGTCGGAATCGCTGAAATGGAACGGATGATAATCGAGCGCCGTATACCGCGTTATTGTTGAAACGCTGCCATCGCAACTCAAATTAACATAAGACGATCTGATGCAACGCGGCAATCATCCACGCATCGATTTTGCTTGTATTACTAAATATAATAATTACACAAGTTATATTTGTATTGTGCACGTGCATACGATAATTACATTTTGATTTATTGTTTATTACTTAACGTCGTATTATAAAGTACGTCGGTTAAACTTCATGCAATTAAATGTAAAATTCGTTAAAAACACTAAGATAGTTATCAACTAATGTTGTTTGGTTACTTTGCAGACCTTGGTGAGTGGCGCTTACAAAGTATTGCGAGGTCTTCTCTAAGTGTCCAAGTTGCTTCATATACCGCATTCAGTCCGTGTAAGTGCATTGGCTGACTTCGTTGTTATTCAATGACTTGCTTTAGCTCGAGACTCGTTGCTGTGTATCAGTCGGCATAAAATTGAATTTGGCAGTCGCTTTTGGCCCCACAGCCGTAGCCCATTAGCGCGATCGTTTCCCGTGACCATTTCTACTTCATTGTTTGGAAAGAAATAAATACTTGGGACCGCGGCCCGATCCGTTCCTTGCCCAGCGATCCTTAAACGTCGGCCAGTAATTCCGCCGCTTTAAGGTGCACATTCGTCCCGGTGAACGTTTGCCTTAATCATTAGTAAAACTGAGGGAACTAAACGACGGATTATAACGGTGTACTACGAGTACCAGAGTAGTAACAATACGATGAGTCATAGCCATTATTATTCTTGATGGTGGTTTTACTGGCTTCTGCGCGATAAGTGTACGTTTTAACGTTTTTGTAGAAATATATTTGTTCATATTATGTGAATTATTAGAAGTATAGCTGTTGTGTTCAGGATATAAAGAAGCGAAATTATAAATATATACTTATTAATATATATTTATGTATTTCACTTACCATCAGGTCAGCCTCCTGCTCGTTTGTTGCTTTTTTTCGTTTGCATAAAAAATATTTATATATTAAGGAGCTAAAAGCAAACAATTTTTCCTGTATAAATAAATTAAAATACGTCATCAATGTGATGACTGAAAATAATTGAATGAAGATAAATATAGCATCTAGCCTTGATAACCGTGACCGAAAGGGCCTATTATTCTACTAAACGACACGATGGTCTCTATACTAAGGTACCTCGAATTTTTGAAGTGTAAATAAGAAAATGACAAATTCAAAAAGTATTCCAAATCCCATAATAAAACTCCAACTCCGATATAGTAGATATTATGGCCTTCGATTTAGGAGTAAATAAAATCGGTGAATGATTGATAGATGTTTATCTGCCCTATTCAGAGCCAAGGTAGAGGAGAATGAGCATTGTAATTTGTCAAGAAATATTGTCATGATGTTAGAGCACTTATGTATTTAAGGGAGCATATGATCATTAACTCAATTATAATCTCTCTCATATTAATAATATCAATTAATCAAACGTCTGTCAACTACATTCTTAGGTTGTTCCATTAATATTCTATTCGATTGTAACGATTTGAATATAATAGTTTATAGACAATTGTCTGAGATGTAGAACAATATTATATATTTAAACTCTACTCTCAATAGACAATACTGTCACCGTCGCACTCAACCGTAATAATTTTAAACGGAAGTTACCTAATATTAAAATTTTAAGATTAAGTCTATAATTCGTGCCTTCCCGGTCCACCTGACTATACTTGGGGGCCGATAAATAAACTGCTCTTGCCCTACCTTTACCCATTTTGTAGTATTTATAATGTTTCCACCATTTTGTAGTATTTACAATGGGCGTG